CTCCCTCCCTCCCTCCCTCCCTCCAACTGTGTGGATAAGTCCCTGAGGTTTTCTTGGCAAAGTTTTCAGAAATAGTTTGCCATTGCCTCCTTCCTAGAAATGACAGTGAGTGACTGGCTCAAAGTCACCCAGCTGGCTTCCAGTCTTCCAATTTCTAGCCACTACTACACCAAACTGGTTCTCTTAATATTTTCTTAAGTACCTATTTAAAATGGTAAGTCCATTAAATGACTAAATAACTGGAGGCTCCAAACAACATTGCTTAAGAGAGGAAGCTATTATTTACAACCAATCCTGTTAAAATTAATTTCTTGTTAGTATTTTAGGAATAGATTTCCTTGTTCTCAGATCTTTCAACTGATTCACAGGTTTCTCCAAAAACAGCTTATGCACACTCCAAAGACACTCAAATAGTCGAGTGGTTTTTATTATGAGACAGCAATTACAGATTTAATGATATGGTTCTATTACTTCAGAGTTCTTTGAAACTCTTTTTCCCCCCTCTTAACAATCTGGGTAAAGAATTGTTTACCAAGCGAAGAACTGTAGCTTCTCTAACAAGCAAAGAAAAACTTTGCAGAATTTCAAAAGGGATTTTTTTTAAATCACAAATTTATTTGCAGACAGACTTAAAGGCTGAACCAAGATATGTGTGGGCTCACTATGACCTGGCATGCCAATCTGTGAGGATAATGGATTACAACTTAAAAGAGCACAGCTATCTTATCGTTTCATAAATCCCACTTCATGTATCACCTAAGTCACAGCCTAAGTTTAACAATTGATGTATTTTTTTCCTTCCCAGCTGAATTCCAAGGAATAAATAAAGCATCTGTTGCAATGATTTACAGACTTTTTAAATTGATAACCTAGGTAGCAATACTCTGTATGCTTACAGTACGTGGGAGTAATATAGTTTTATTCAGTAAGACTTACTTTTGACTAAGCATATCTAGAACTATTACACTGATCCTGCCTTCCTGAAAACACTCATGCTTTGATTGCCAACAGAAATTTATAACAATCAAGAAGGGAAAAGTGTAACATATTCCAAGCAACTCAAAAGCAAACAATAGTTTGCAAAGTAGCTCCATTTCACAGGAAAAACCTCATAAAAACAGAATTCATTACCAATCTCTGTATAGATATAACAGTCAAGCTTCAATATAAATGTGAGGAAACATTTTATAACACTGACAAACAATTTGAAACATGTGCAAGCACCAGAACTTAATGCATTGCAACTTGTTGTTATATGTCATCAGCTCGACCCATTTATATTACTGTTGGTTTGACTATCACTGCAAGATTGCTGACATGATGTAAGTAGCAAAGGAGCTAAATTTCAAAAATCCCAAAGTTACTTTCCATCTACTTCTTGGCGGACAAAGTTGCCCGGTTTCGAGCGGACCTGGACTCCACCCCAGTAGATCCAGCCGAGACACAAGGAG